AAACGATAAAATAAAATAAAAAACATGATATAATAATAATTTTTTATAACGATCCAAAAATATTTCAATATAATAATCATTTAAAACAGTGTTTCTTGTAGAAATTGTACTCATTATTTTTCAGCAAATGTCTAAATGCTTTTGATAAAATGTGTTCCATTTTTAGACATTTAACAAATTTAAAAACTATTTCGTTATTAAGTGGCGTAAGTCGCCCAATTTGCTGAAGGGTCTGCAGAAAACAAAATTGAAAATGTGATTACTGAAGTGCGTAAAAAATTAATCTTCGACGGTTTTCGGATCAAGCGCTGCAATCTTTAATTATTATTATTGTAATTATAGACGATGGAATCGCTAAAATTGCAAGCGTTGATGCAATATCCCGCCGTAAAATGTTACAGCGAACTTAATAAAGATTTCCCCATTGGCCTTTCCCCGAACAGTTTGAAACAATTTTCAGACTCGGGTGCCTCGGGCATGCGACAAAACATCTGTTAGATTTCCTTAAAACGTTTTCGATGTACACCCGGAAAATCAATCGAGTATCACGCCCGGGATTGTCGGAGTCGAATATAAATAACCCCTATGCCAATAGCAATGTTAGGAAGCACAAACGGTTTTGTCTTGGAAAAGGGTTTTGTAAGAAAGGACTACATAAACATGTAGAACGTTAAGATTGGCAGCAATTACTTTAAATTGGTATTCATTGGACGTTGGACTAAAATTAGATTATTCGGCGGATAAAAATCGCGTTGAGAGGAAGGAGGGGATTGATCAACACAACGCACAATATATAAAAAAAGAAATTGCTTCCGCCAATGCACTTATCCGGTACGGAGGACCCTAAATCAAATGAGAATTGGGGAACCAATATTCAGGACGAATATGACTAGGTGGAGACAGTTTGATGGAACCCAAGAAGACCAAACTCATAAGTAAAGTAATCGGTTACCAAAACATCAGCCATAAAAGAATGAAGCATATTAAAGCTATATTCTATAACAATTATTCAGTTCAGTTGATTATTTTTCTCTTTATATGACATACCAACATTTTGACTTATTGTATTTTTTTATAATTATTCGCAGAATAAGTAAACTAAATTGTTCAAAAGCTAAGATCAGAAGTGGGATCAAACAAGGAAAACATTGTTTTCCTCATTTAACGCAATACTGTATGCGAAGTAGAGGCAAAGGTGCGAAGGTGTTACTATATCTTTTTTAATTATTGCTCAAGACCTGATATAGATGATTGGTAGCGAAAACCAGATATAGGCACATATGTCAGGTCTTTGTTAATGTTTCGTTTGGTATAAATTCTATATTTGATCGTAAACTTGTTGAAATAAATCACAAGTAGAATTTTTGTTATCTGTAAGATGTACGACATTTTTTCATTATTTAAAGCAAATTTAAGTACTAAAAAAAATAAAATTGTTAAAATAATGGCAACACGTAATTATTACAAATTTTAAGTTATTTGTAGCTACTAAAGTGTAATATTTGGTGGGATTTTTAGTTTACATTTTTTGGAGAATTCACTCAACCCAAATTATTTACTAAAAGTCCTAAACATCCCCTTTTCGATAAAGAAAATTACGTAATTAAAGTTATAAAAATAAACAATTTCATATAGGAAAAATTGTTCTATTTAAAATAACTGCAGGTGCTGATATTGATTAGTATAGTATTACCTTAAATTTTCAAATTTATGTTGGTTATAGTTGCTATATCAGATCTAGGTTCCCAATGTGATGCGATAGTTTTATAAGACAAGTTTTTTTTTATTTTACTTCTAACGTAAATAAGTTTTCCAAATCTGAAGAAAAAGAAAAAAATGTAGAGACAGAATTTGAAAATAAAAAACAAAATTTTATGTATTTATTAATCAATTTAAAAATAAATTTAATAACTTTTAATTTAATATCTTGACACTGAGACAACTCACGGTATTTTTACAACAAGGTTTTAAAATAGCGTTTTTTTATATATATTTTCAATTTTTAATTTTTTTTTCCAAATTTTCGAGAAAAATATTTGGAATATGAAATCTATTAAATCTTTGCGTAATCCGTAAAATCTGTGAAATCCTATGGTTGTGTGAAATCTGGTGTACCAGTTTTGAATGGTGATTTGCCCCTCGAAAATGTCTATTATTATTATCACTATTATTTGTTTCTTTTTTGCCTTTAAAGGATTATTTGACTGAGCCGCAGCGACACATAAAGAAGGACAAGATAACAGGTTCCCCACATCAATTGTTACTATTATTATTAAAAAGCAAGGTTTTAACAAATGCCAAGACCTCAAAAATATTGAGTTAAAGAAACTGGTTTACAACCTTGTAGATTGGGTAGTGGAGACTTTTTGGACTTTGACTTCAATTTTTAAAAACTAAGATTGCGAATCACACAAGGGGCTACAAAGATGAATAGCTAATAACAAACGTAGCTGATTATTATTTCTTACATTATTTGACATTTGTATAATATCATTCAGACTGGCATTGAATTCGCACCGGTTAGAAGCGCAGTTGTATGTAAGTAAATGTATTGTACGTAAAAATAACTTTACTTCTAAATTTTATTCTGTCTAGGTTTTACACCAAAAAACGCGATGCAGAGTAGTCCTGGACATCTAGATCGACCTTGCATAAATATGAATCACTAAAATTAGTATTTTAAAAACCTGCAGACAATTTCGCAGGCACATGACTATGATAATAACAACAAAATAACCATTGCTAAACACAAAATAAAATTAATAAAAAAATATATTTATGATGCCCGTGGTTATTACCTATTTTTTTCTGTCATTTATTGTTATTTTACTATTTTTTCACTATCTATACTTAAAATACTTATACACAGGTTACTACTACATACTAATTATAATGCATTTTCCAAAGTGATACTTATAGGGGTCTGACAAATTTCAAAAATGTACCCTTTTATACTTTTCATACATAATCGCAGGCAAAGCATAAAAGCATAGAAAAGACTTTGTCTCAATTACGATTGGTCGACAAGTTTTCTCGTCATTTTACAAACTCAAACGATAATTAAGAAAACTGTTGTTTAATACGGTGGCTAATCAAACAAACCCTACGCTCAGAACTCTCTCCCTAGTCCACGTTCCCCTTTCGTTTTGGACTCAAGACTGAAAATTCCCGCCTAAGGGGTCGCTTTGTCTCCGACGACATTGACTCGGAAAACAAGTGAAATTAATTTTCGAGAAGCATTGTTTAAACCACTAACAGATCCCCCGGTTCTATTTTCTGGAATGTGGACCTACCGCTATATGAAAGGCAACCGGTTTCAGTATATCCCAGTCGCTACATTTAGACTGGAGCTATAGACCTATTACGTCACTAAATGATAAACGTATTACGTCACTAAGTGATTTGTTAAAAATTTAAAATTGAGTTGAAAAATGATAAAAAAAATAGTGTGCATTTCTCCAAACCTGAATATAAACTGAACAGCACATGAGATACCCAAGAAGCTGAAAAATTTTTCACTGAACACAAAGCGTCATCCATCAAATTTTGGCCAAGAGTTCTTCATGATATTGGGTACGTCACTACAGGGTTGTTTAACGAAAATTGTTCTCCTCCAAACAGAGCAATTTGATTTCTGTACTCGCAATAGTGTTTTTTACGTTCTTTCCGTAGTCTTTATTAGGTCCTTTTACTTTTGCATATCTCGATTAGACCGGGAGTATACGGGAACGTTTTAGTAGGGCCCGTTCTGCGGAACAGGTACAACACACTGTTTTGAATGGGTTATTGTGATTTGGCGGCACATTTATACGACAACCTTCGTCCTGGGCTGTTGCAGTAAATTTATTTGCGAATTGTTCGATATGGACAAATTTATCGAGTCCATCCAAGAGTGTCTAGCCACTTGGGAGAAGAGAAGAAGAATGAATATAGCGATAGAAATGTATATCTTCATAAAATTTAATGAATCTGTTAATAGATTCACGTTTACTGGTTGGGAAAAAAAATTGGTTTAACCGAAAAGTGATGTGATGCTTTGCTACAAACCCTTCTACTTGCACGCAAAGTACCGTTTTGAAACTATTTCGCCTTCAACATTTTTATTGCCAAAAGTTTTATTCAAATATTCAATCTCCAGTAGCTCCTTTTTGTGAAATTCATTATTTAAAGTGGGCCAATGAATGATGTTATTTTTTTCCCAAGAAGATGTGGGTATTTTTTCGGATTTTATTGAGTGGTAGCTGGCATTATCCATGTCTATAAGAGACCCAGGCGTAATAAGCTTTAGCATTAGCAATATAAAAAAATATTTTTGACTATATAATGCGGAAATGCATCATTTTCCAGAATAGAATAACCAAAAATAGTGCCAATAAAACTGAGACTAACCAAAACACAAGGACAAAAAATGCAAATTATAAGTTCAATTTAAGTTTTTTCCAAAAAAAAGCTAATACCAATAATACATTAATATGTTTAGTACAGGTGTATCTCTAATACATTTTTTTGCACGAAATACATACACAATGATTTTTTTTGCTTATTAATGAAAAGAAGAATTAGACGTTATTACACATACCGAATTGTTTTTACTTGAGTCCATATATTTATATTTCCGCATAATTGCATTTATTTCGGTCATCAAAATTTCTTTCTAAAATACATATTTATACACTTATTTCATTATTAATTGTCGCTTTGAGTTTATTACTTGCGAAATAATAAAGGCAGATATCTTTATTCATATTTTCGTAAACACTAGGACAATATTTAGTATTTTCAATGTTTTGGATTTCGATTGGAACCTCTGGGAGGTTTCACCAAAATTTCACATGATATTTCCAACGCTGAAGCGTCGAATCCTTTGTAAAAATGCTCTTTATATGCTTTAAAAACTGCAGTGTCTAAATAATATTTCGACCTGAGTTTATAGAACAATTTAACTTTCGTACAGTTATAAGCGACGGAACCATTACTGCATGAAAACAGATCATTCGGACATCATTTAACGAATCCATTTTTATTGAAACACATTCTTAGTCTATTTTAGAGTTATAAATGTGGTGTAATAATACCATTAACAAATAATTAAATTAATCAATGAAAACAAAAAAATAATAATAGTAATGTGGAGAGTTGATCAAGTAAATATTAACACAGGCATAGTCCAAAAATGGGATACACGAATGACTAGGCCCCTTACAAAGGATACTCAACTCCAGAGGTCAGTGACATCTGTCACATTGTTAAACGTTTCCTGACAATAGAATAAACTATTTATGTCTGACACAACGCAAGGATCAAAAACGTGGAAAAACGACCCAAAATTTAAAACTCCCAGATACGAAATAACAGAGACAACTTCTCCATTTTACATCGAAAGTGGATTTATCAGCATAATACTGACATCATCACTGAGCAAAAATAATAATTTGAAACACTTATATCTGCGTTCGAAATTATTGCGAGACCTGTTATCCTTCATTTATTCTGCGGTCTAACTCCCCTGGATCCCTTTTTAGGCGTCTTTAAACATTAAGGTCTTCCCAGGGCACTCAGGTGTTTCATCGCTTACGATATGGCCATTTAGAATCCGGAGGAGAATTTTTTATAAGGGTATTAGAACATAATGCTATCCTTAATTTTAAATCGTTGAAAATTTAATCCCGCTTTTATCGTTTATGGCATAACAGATGGTAAGACTTCCACAACATTATTTGCCGTGCTTAACTAAAGAATTGGTCGGATAAGCTAAAATAGGGATTAGGTTGCTCAAAAATTTCCAATTTCCTGTGCCTGTGTAACTCCAAATAGAAAATGGTATATAAAAATTGGTTTGACATCGTTTTTGCTCTTTACTTTTACTTATTTAAACCTAACACAAGTCATTATCACTTAATCTCTTGATTTTCTTGTAATATTTTTCTTCAAGAATTGTTTTACTTTCGAACTAATTCAGCCAGAAGTACATAAATAAGCTTCTAAGCTACCTGAAATAATAATAATATAATAATAATAGTCTGAGAATTGAGCAACATAATGTACATAATACACAATATACAATACAAAATCAGCCACTAAACATTAACTATCTATACTAATCTATATATTATACACCTTTTTGACAATACAATTTTTAACAAAAGAAACCTTACTAAAGAAAAATAAAAGACAAAACAAAAGAAAAAGAAAGAAAGTAATTACAGAAATAATTCTGTGATTAATTAAAAGAGCAAAAAGCCAATCAGCACTTTATTTATCTAATAACACGCCCTTAATGTTCTTTTGAAATATTTTTAAAGATGATGATGATGATTATGTCGATAACAAGTTTTTGCCGCATTATAGGCAAACCCCCGCTGTAAAGAGCAGATCTGTGTTGAGGCACAATTAGCGTATTCTCCCTAATATTTACATTGTGCGTTTCACAGCGAAAAACTAGCTTGTCTTTTAAATAGGTAGGGCTAGAAGATTTTAAGATCTTGTATATTAACACAACGAATAGGTACTCAACTGTTCTCAACCACTGCAACAATTTAATTTTAGGGGACACGTGGTCATACTTCCTTAAGCCATACACAAACCTACAACAGTTGTTTTGTATTTTTTGAAGGCGTTGACGAAGGAATGTTAAACATGGGTAAAACAATACGAGGCAATATGACATTGCATACATAATATATGACTCAGATGGTTTTTTCCTAACTGTAAAGTTCAATACATGCTTATTTGTATATAGAGTCTTAAATAAAAGGTAAGTTCTTTTACTTAAATTTGAAATGTGCTCACTAAATCTTAATGATACGTCCACCGTTACTGCTAAATTTTTGGCGTTGGTAGCAAACGACGAAGGTTCCCCATTTATCTCAAGATACAAGTATCTTTTCAGGAAGTGCATTTCAGAGTCGCGAGCAAAGGGTGCACCTGAGTTTTAGCCGCATTTAACCTTAAAGCATGTCTCTCACTATAAGTCAAAAACTGCTGCAGATCAAAATTAATATCTGCTTCGACCTCATCAGAATGGAACGGATCAAAAATATAAACAAGCTGGATATCGTCAGCGTATGACTGAGATTGGCAAAATTGCGGTGCGGTACAGTTTACGGTAAAAATAACAGCGGCCCCAAGATTGATCCTTGAAGCACCATTGATACCAATTTTCGTCACACCAGCTGTCGTCCTAACAACTTGTCTTCTATTTTGCAAGTAGTTGCAGAAGAAGGCCAGTGGACCGTCAGATAAAAGTGAATGATAGGCACACAATCAAAACCTCGAGAAAAGTCGAGTAGAATTTGTATGGTCGCAAGTTTGTCATCTAAACTCTGAAAAATTCGATCTGTCACATTTAACAAAGCTGTTGCAGTACTGTGCCCGGACAGAAAACCCGACTGAGAAACAGATAGGATGTCATTATTTTTAACAAATTCATAGAGCTGTAAGTAGACAACCCTCCCCAGAAATTAAATCCGTATTCAACACGCCATGATCTTTTACATGCAATATATTACTTATGAAAATTGGGTCCAGAAATTTCGCTGGGGTTGCAGTGGCTCTTGTGAGTTCATTAATTCTCTGCGATATAATATAACAGTCAAAACAGCGGCTGATAGGATAACTGTGCAGTCAAATGTAGATGTAACTTCAGATAATAGCGTACCATACGAGTTTACGAACAGAACACAGAACACCCTGTATGTACTTTATTATCCCAGCGTGAACACAATATTTTGAAGCTTTTGTATCACTACGAACATAAATACCTATCTGGTCTTTCCTAATTAAATTATAACCCTTAATTTCGGCTAACGACGAATTAATATGCGACCTTAGATTAAATCTTTGATATCCAAAAAGTGAGCAGTTCTGAGGTTACGACAATAAAAACACTTATTTGCGAGTATGCTAATAGCGCGATCCCCATCATTTTTCGTTACAAAAATAAGTCCATTGTTGCATCACACGTATTTGTAGCCTTTGGTCTTCAATTTCATAGCATTCTTTGACAGCTCATAAGTTGTTTTACACAACTCTTCCGTTGATAAAAATTTTATGTTTTAGGATGTTAATGCCACACATTGTTGTGTCCAAAGGACCTTTTTCTTTTCTGAGACGCAAAAGTTCTGTAGCCAGGTTCTTCTCTTTAAAGCTAATAGAGTCTAGTCCTGGGTCTGATAATTTTTAGATTTTCAATACTTCGGTTATACGACTATTTACATGCTATATAATTTTTAACGTTTTCTCCTTAATGGTTGTGTCGTCATCTTGATCGTCATATGCTCCACTTGCAGGTAGCTTCTTTCCCATTCTCTCAACTTCTATATCATGTAATTTGGACTGCAGCATTTGGACATGAACCCTCCCTCATCCTGTGATTCTCTATTTTGATATCGTCAATCAACTCGCCCATAACTTTATTTGTCTGTTTTTGAGACTCACATATGGAGTTGAAGAAATCTAGATAAGAATTTATGTTTTAGGTTTGTAATTTCAGTCTTAGGAACAAGTATTAATAGACGAAGTGACTCATCATTATCATCAGTGCCAACAATGTGCACCTGGTGGTATGGCTTGCATTTATATTTGAGGAACACTGCGCTTCTCCCAACGATGATGCAGTCTTTCTCCTACATACGCCACATATCCAAATTTTATTTCCTTCAGCTGTCACTCGCAACTCCAATTCGCTTAATTTTGCATAAATTGAGTGATTCCATTTGCAACAAGTAGAACACTGTATCTTAGTACATCTCTTGGATACATTCTTTAAACATGCACCACAAGTGACGATTATCCTGCTATTAACGCTCACATACTATGAAAACGCACTTGCAGTTCCGGCATAAACTGCCCAGCCGTAACGTTTTCCGAGCAAAAAGAGACGTTATCGCCAATGTAAACAATACCTTCTTTACACTCTTTTTAGAAATTAATTACAAGTAAATTTCCCAATCAACAGCACTTGAACGCAGCGAACGGGCGAACAAATATACCGTCCGAAAGCCACATTTAAAATATTTGCTGAATCATCATTTTTGGTTAGTTTTGGTTAGTTTCTTAGTCGAATTTATAGCTGCTTGGCGCCCCTCAAAATAGGTAGTAGGTCTTCACTATTTACTCCACTAAGTGCTGAACTTAATATTACCGATAAAAATGTAACAGTTTCTTTAAAGATCGAATTTATGGGTAAACATTTACATCCCCGCCATGACCGTTGAATACGAATAGGCCAATCGTACACGCTGAAAAAGAATTTTTCAAGTATAACCAAGTGAGTGAGGCGTCTAGAAAAACACTGAAAAAATACGTACTGACATTGCAGCGTTGATCGTCATCGGGCCAAACGGCCCGATTGAAATTTTTAAAGACCTTTTGCTTCGCATGATCATTATATGAATGACTTTTTGCATCTGCGGACTCTGCTCGAACCATTTGCTCTCGAAAAGGGCCTGCGCCAACCGAGTACTCTAAAATATACCCATACCACTATTAGATTAGATACATATAGACGTCAACGCTTAAAAAGATTTTGTGAAGACGAATTTCATTATGCTCATACAAGTCATTTTAGATAGGGAAGTGGCAGTCGCGCCAATGGCACAAAATATCATAACCATCATTATCTAATGATCTCCGTACGAGGATACCAAATAAACTAGTCCGAGTTCTGTCAAAATTTACAACATTAAAACACAGAATTCCAATGTCCAAAGACACTTTTAACGCATACCTGAACTTTTGAAGGAAGTGAATTGTATAAAAAATCAGGAATACAAAAGCGCATTTGCAGGTTGTAAATTCAAAAAACAAATAATAATAGTAATAATAATAATAATTATAATAATGATAATAATAATAATAATAATAATAATAATAATAATAATAATTAAAATGAATTTGTAAATTCATAATCTAGGAGTTGCCTTTTTAACCATATGAATTCTCCTTTGAATAACGCACCAATAGATGCTGCATATCGAACATTATCAGGTTAACATACCTGATACTTGTACACAAAATAAACTAGTCAAAATGGAGTGGGTATTTGCCTAAATCAAAATGATAATCCTGCGTTCTTGGGTTCTATAGTTCTGTGAGAGCGTTATCTGAAACTGAGGGCGGATTGCTGCTCTACATACACCCGTTTTGGCTTGCTGAATGCAAGAGGTGGATGCTCGAATCCCAAATGAAAGAGAGATAGCAACCTATATCGCAGCTTATGTTATTTGGGGCGTTTGATACATTTGGTAGACGCTCGAATTTTTCTGGAAGAGAAGAAAGTGCTAGATGCAAATATTTTGGTCTCAACGATAGCATGGTGTCTTGTTTAGTGATGATTTTTAGAAAAGGCACATGTCGTCATCTGTTGAAGTGTACTGGTTGATATTTTTCGACTTTCGGAGGAACAGGTTCAGACAAAAATAATACTCGACGCCAGAGAAATCCAGAAGAAGTGTACCTACAAGTTACACAACCTTAGAAAAAATGTACAAAACCTGTATTTAGGCGTTGCAATGCTGAGCAAGACCTGCGTCTTTCCGCCATATCGAACCAGTTTTAAAATCTTGTGCACAAAGTATCATCATACCGTAATGCAAAAAAAATATTCTCAAAACAAATGGTAATCAACACTAGATTGAAAACGCACAAAATTATGGACAAATGATTTTTTGTTGCAACAGTTAAAACCAATTTTTGGTAGTTATGCTGTGCTCATTCGATTCCTTATATATACATTTTATAAATTATAATAATTAACTTACTTCTATCACAATATCCTCCGCGTGCCACGCAACAATTAGCAGAAATAAAATTGTAGACACAGCGAATTCTATATTGAATAATACATTGTATTTCTAAAACAAATTAAGTTTAACACAACGATATTAAAAGCTATGAAAAATTGTGCACTTAAATTGATTAAGTACCTAAACAACCACCGATATGATCTAAGGAAAAAGGAGAATTGATTACTTTTAGGGGAATTACTATATTTTGTAAGTAAAGCGAATATATATTAGACGCTGGCAGTAAGAGTTTTAATTACTATAAAAATCGGTTGCCTAAATTATTTTCATCTCATTCGGTTATTTTCCGAGTTTTGGTATAAGAACAATAACTCATTGGGAACAATTTTAGAACGAATAGCAATCGAATAATGTCTGTTCTCTTTCTCCGATTTTTCTAAATGGTACTTTCAATTGGGTTAAAAACTGGAAAACTAGAAAATATGCTATATGCTTACCATTAGGACTAAAAACACACACGATCCAAACATTATCGAGGAAATGCTGTATTCTACAAAGATTGCCGAAGATAAAATATCATTAACATCGTTGATACACCTAAAATACAATTTTATAACATGTTTTTCTCTAATCAAAAAGGAAATCCCTAGAAATGCACAGGTGTTATATGGTGAAAATTATCTAATGAAATGATAAATATTAAAACATAAAAACACTTTTTGAGGAAACTCGAACTTACTCAATTAAATTTTGATGTTCTTTGCATAGGAATCGTAGAGTAATTAACTTCGTAGTTTCAGTACAATGAGTTTCGAAATAGCAGAAATAATTATGAAACTTCCTAAACTGATGCTGCAGCAGCTGAAGTCTAGCTTTCACGTAAATTAACATTGTTGTAGTGAAAATTTGCACTGACGCAACGAGGATCAGCGCTGCAACCAAATCAACATACTGGTGCAAAAATATCCATCTGAAGTACGCGTTGTTAAATTTTTGATCCCAAGGATACCAGAAGTGAAAAGGTAGTGGTTTTCCCAATGTCTCGTTAGTGGTGCTTTGTTTTTCGTTAAAAATGTAGACTCCAACAATACCTAAAACATTTTTTGCTCCACTTTACATTTTTCTAGTCAGCGTTGACGCTTCTTTACACTAATTGTTAAATATTTTTGAAATAATTTGTAGACTAAGCAAAATCTAGCTCTGCTTAACACGCAAAAATATTTGTCGAATAAGACCTCGTCCGTTCTATAAGCACGAGAGTGTATTGTTCCTACCTCTTTCAAACAAGATGAGCCCCGACATCACTTCACAGGTGATGTAAAATTTGGACATATTATTGCAAGATTTCACATGTTCCTCGTAACGTTTGATCAATGTTGGGTTGCTTTCTGTTAAAATTCGGCGCTGACATTCCACCGCTGCACTTAAAAATTTAGACACCTTTTCAGACCGGAAGAAAATAATTTTCATGTAAACAATCGATGCCATCAAAGCATCAGACATCGTCTCGAATCCTAAATCATTACAATGCCAGAAATAATTTAAATTTAATAAACTAAATTTACCCGCCAGGATATCAAAGTTAAATATATTTGGCAAATTCGCTGCCAACAAGACGGGCATAGACAATTCAGACGTTTGTATTAAAACCGCATAAACTGCGTAAATCTTCTTTTGTAAACCTGAAAAATGTTCTTGCTCCAATCGCCATAGTCCGGCCAACGTCATAGTTTTTCGGGCGTAGTAAAACATATCAGTCAAGAGACTCATCCTTTAGCAGAACTAATTATAGCAGAAATAAAGGTCTGCATTCTTCTGCACTTTAAAGAATGTTGAAATTTATAAGAAACCACTCTGAATAAATAAAGCAGCGTTAAAAGTGGGTGTTTTTTCAGTGACGTTCGCCGCCGATTCAAAAATGATGTCACAAAATTACGTCACGTGTTGCGGGGCTCAAGTTGTAGCACATTCATGGTCTAAAAATATGCTCCGGAATTAAATCAAAGACTCACTTTTAAATTCACAGTGACTGGTTGGTGTACTGGCACTTGAAGCTACCTTGGTTTGCAAATTTCATAAAAGGTTATTAAAAGTGGCACGCCACTGACATAACTACATACCGCAAATTTAATATGAACTCTGTGTTTAAGGAACGCGCATGAGGAGATATTGCAGCCCATTATTTGCTGTCGCACTCTACCGTCCTTTGTAATCAGACGTATCTAGCACATGAATAAATAATAATTCCGTTTTCTGAACGAAGGAGCCATACATCGTCTTTCGCGAAACGGGTTTTCCGAAAGTCGGATATTATTCTTAAATGTCAATTTTCGAAAATATAGTCGACATTGACCATTAACTAAAATTTACGCGGCAAACTAAAACCAACAAGTTATTCTCTTAGTACTTACTTCGCCAACAAAGGAGAGCGTCTTGTTGAGGGTTGGTAATTAAATGTCATTATCGATTTGTGAAAAACAGTTTTCAGGTAAGTTCCCACAGTATGCTTCTAGATGGAGTAAGAAGAAGAAGAAGAGTAAGAACACAAATAGCTTAAAAAGTGAAAAATTCATTCATTCTTTATAAAAGTTTTTGCTTCCTTGCGATCATTATCGTAATACACAAATATGAAATTTGCTGCAGAGTAAAACACAAAATGTTATATACCAAAATATTATCACCTATTTTATTTGATTGCGCCTTTCATAGTTGTGTCGTATTTGTCACATATGGGACACCTGCTCATTATGCTGGGGATGCTGAAGAGGTAATTCTTCCAACTTGCCTGATAAATATGTTTCCAGCGGGTGCAACAATTAAGAATATCTGTTACACGTGTTAAAAAGTATATCATAATTCCTTAATAGGAAATGGCGCATCAAACATTTGCTTACATTACCAGCATTTCACGTGCTAAGAAGAGATGGTGCCGTCTGCACTAAAGGCTGACTCGTCTAAGAACATTATTAGCTTGTGAAAATTCATGTTGTTATGGGCAACACGACTTTTTTTTAAAATCACTTTGTGCTCGTTTTAATTAAACATCATTTTCGTTATCTTTTCTTAGTCTTCATAACATCAATAGCGGATCCAGTTTGTTTGAATTTATTTACTGATCTTCTGCATAATGAAATATCTGGATATTTTTCTTGAAGCTTTTCACAAATGTAGCGATAAGGATTGTCGCCCTCTCCATAATTGTGGTTTATTCTCTTCTTAAGTTAACATTTTTCTTATTTAGACAAATACACACCATGAAAGGTGCAATCAAATAAAATAGGCGACATTTTGGCTTTAAATTCCAATCATTTTATTTTGTATTTAAGCTGTAAAATGGCATTAAAGCAAGCAAAAACTTTTGTGACCTTTTGCGTCTATTTGTTCTTTTGTCTACCCCATCCGTGGACATACTGAGGCTCCCATTTGAATTTTAATATAGAGAATCATATAAAAAAGCGATTTTTAGATATATTGAACAATTCTATTTAACATACCAAACAAAAAAAATATCACTTTTAAGCAAAGCGTCATTTTTATCATTGATATATAATATATGTATCTATCACATTATTTATATTACACCTCTTTCTTTTAGTGAACGAAGTTCCGTAGACATTTCAAAAAATATATTATTTGTGTTATATCCATTGATAAATTCCAAAGAAAACTACGTCCGCCTTTAGTATTGTTCTTCACCTTCACCTTATAAAAAATAACAAAACTGAGTGGATTGAACAGCGAGAAATATTTGTCTGCTGATAGTCTTATTCCAAAATGTTTTTTTGATACTTAATAAGCTTCAGGTTTTTAAAATTTCTTTGCAAGTGTTGTAAATATCTGTTTGAAAGTAACTTATCGCTCTGGAAAAACTCCAATATACTGGCACAGCTATACTTGTATCGGACACGCTTTTATTATCCTGATAGTATATTTGAAACATATCACTTCTTTTGCGGATGTAACGTGATTGATTTGCCAAGCTATTTACGTTATTATCTTAAAAAACTTCTTAGACGAGCATAGTTTTTATAATTTGTGATGATGATAATCGTGATTTAATGGATTAATCAATGTTTTCGATTGAAAAACCTATTTATCACTTGTTTAATAGGCATTCAGCTAGTACCAAATTAAACTTATTAATATAATATAAAAGGTATGTGTTTCTCATTATATATTAACATTAATTTGTCATATTGAATATTATGCAGCAATATTATTTTAGGTAATTACCAGTTCAGATACTTTATAGGTTGTCTGTAAATAGTATTAGAACATACCTTTAAAATTCGAAACAATACATTGAAATAATGTATTGACAAAAATTTTTCATATTTTTTTTTATAAGAAATCTTAGAAATTTTCAATATAAATACTAAATTGATTAATTCTAAAATTATAAATCATTGCTAAACGGATATAACAGAAATAAAGCATAATATACTTTTTATACGACCCGTGACTAAAATAACCGAAATAAACGTCACGTGTATGTTAGAATAGGTAGTAGGAAAATCTAAAACCTCAGAACACTATATTGTCAATTCCGATAAGTTCATTTATTCTTTCCTGCTCCTAAAATTGTCATTTCTTTAAATACGGTTCAACTAATCCAAAAATTCTATTCACGAATGCATTTCCAAAAAAAGAAATAAAGCAAGTAATCAACAAAACCTACGACTCACCTCTTAACTTGATCTGGTATTCTATAGGTTGATGTCTGGCTTTTCACGGAGGAAGTTCTGATACTCTTCCCAGTATCGGCGGTCGGTCCCACTATCGTCAAAGTTTGTTTAAAAAAATCACTATCTAACGCATCCACTGGAATTTCGAACGTATTATACGGGCTGACTTCCTTTTTGAAGGCCTCAAATATTTGTTTCGCTTCTATATCCGGCGTCAGCTGATCTTTAGGATCACGATACCCGTCCAGTAACTGATTATCTGATGAATTTCCGACCACTTGTACCACATCCGGTTGCAGCCGGAGCTTGCTGGGCCTCGGAGGCACTTTAGGTTTGACGCCTGTTTGTTCCCGCACATCTCCATCAGGCAATTTGGTGTAATCCTGGCTAGAGATACTCTTGAATTTGTTTTTCACAAATTCATCCACTTTGATTAATTTTGCACGTGGAATAAATTTTTTCACATTGTAGCTGCTACTAGTGACAGTGGCGTTGTCGACGATCAATTTCAGATTAACCTCAAAATTGCTAGCGTTTCTTCTAGGAATTAGAGGACTGTGTCTCGATCGATCGAGGCTGTTGAAAAACTGGAGAGCGCTTCTAAAGTTGGGACTTGTGTCACCCATAATGGTAACGGATTCTTGGTAACGACTGACACTGGTTGCGGACAACTTTTAGCTGCATAGTATTAAAAGGAAAAGCTCGTTCGCTGCAAACTTCAACTGCTGCGACTGTTTTTGTTAAGTCGGATACGTCACGGTCCAAAGGCACTCCGAACGCGACCGATTGCACGATAAACTGAACAACGATCGATTTAAATGATTCACTTAACACGCGTGACGCTGTTATTATTATCAATTACCCCGTTATAATATGTTGAAACTTCACGGCGATTTGGTCGCGTGTGATTCATGACGATCGCCTTTTTTGTTTCCTTACCAAGAACCGCGACGGAATTTTAATCCCACTTTATGTTGATCGACCAAAAGCAAAATCAAAACTGTAAACCGAATTCCTCTCTGATGTTTGTTATCAACGAGATTACGAGGAGACAGAGGCGCGAGGAAGCAAATAGAACCAAATGCGAAGCGATAATGGCAAGCGACTGTATTTGTGATACAAAGAAACCGCTTAATGTCAACAATGCGAAATGTTGGTAATGCGAGAAGATGTTTGAGATGTTTTTATACGGGAGGCGTAAAAGTTTCGTTAAATTACTTTTGCTTGTAAAATTACCGGGGGATTGATAGTCGATGGCAATTTAGACATTTACGGAGAAATGAAATGAATTGGTTCATTATCATTAGCATACATGCTATTACGCACAACATTACAAAACTACGCTTGCAATTGCAATATATTCGAATGGAAGTAAATTACATTTATATAAAAGCAAAAGCTAATTCGCACTAATACTAATATCAATATAAGAATCTTTTACCATTTTTTGGAAGCTTTTTACATTTTTTTACAGGCTTTTTTGCATTTGTTGACTTTTAACAAACTGAATATCAAAATCGTTTTTACCACTAACAATATAACAATGTTTGTACGACCTAGGAATTAAATAATCTTGTAAGTAGGACGGAAGTAATTTATTTATTTTATATATCAGCAAAACATTAGATAACTAACTCAATTCTCTGAGACACCGACAACCACCCTAAAGAGTGTAAGGGGCACAACCCAGAATAGCCCGCATGGTTTTATTTTGTAGCACTTGTATTCTATGAACATTTGCTGTTTCCTCAAGAAATCAAAAGCGAATTACAATACGAAAAATGAGTGCTGATAATCGCATTAAAAACAAGACGTTTGCCCCAGTGGCTAAGCTCAGGCGAAAGTCTACACAAGAAACTTATCTTTTTTTCCATTTTTTTTTACAAATATAATCTATATGTTGTGAGAAATTTAATTCAGAATCTAGAACTACTCCCAGATACTTCATTTGTGAAACATTTCCTATTAATCTACTATCAATATAAATCTCAAAATTATTATCCAAAAATACATTACAATTTTGTTTACTCCCAAATACCATATATGCTATTTTATTTAAATTTAACTTAAGTTTATTTACGCACAACCGGTCAGTAAGTAACCTCGATTCCGAGTTCATATGGTCTACCACTTCTAAGTAATTTTTCCCAGAAATTGATAGCAAAGTGTCGTCCGCGAAAAGGTTCACAAAACAATTTTTCAAAATTTTGTCTAAATCGTTCACATATAGAATAAAAAGCAAAGGTCCTAACACACTGCCCTGGGGCACGCCAATATTGTATTCTAACTTATCAGACACCACGTTATAACTACTTGTTACATAGAATTTGTCACATAGATAATCAACTATCCACACAAGTACATTCCCTCTGATCCCGTTTATCCACCAGACGTCCTCTATGAATGGCCTCAAAGGTTGTTTGAAGATCAATGAACACAGTTAAAACTATATTACCGTCACGTATGTCAGACCTCCATTTCAAGCACACAGATTGTAAAGACACGAGTGTTTTTCCCGAAACCCAGACTGCCCTTTAAAAATTAGTTTATTTTTTTTCTAGGAAGCTTCGCAGCTGCTTACACACAATTGTTTCTCAAAATCAATAAGAACTAAAAGTTCAGATTTTCACGAAATTATATATATCGACATGAAAATTGTTTCGACAACACCGTGTCTCTATCAACATTTGATAAAAGAAAGAAATAATAAGAAAATAATTTTAAAAAATAAAGTCAACTTTAGAATATCCTATATTCATTCGATTCTTTTACCACGCTAATTAATTCGCAAGATAACATATAGATGGAAGCTTTCGAAGAATTGATATTAGTGGACCCCAAGATATCAAAAACATGTAAAACAGTTCATCATTTGTTTCTCCGTTCCTTTCATTACACTATCGCCTCCTCTCATTTCTTTAACAAACTGCAATTTTTTAAGTACTACTGAAGGACTGGTGGAACATAATTTTAAAAAATAAAGTCAACTTTAGAATATCTTATCTACATCCGGTTCTGTTGCCATGCTAAGTAATTTGCAGAATAATATATGGATGGAAGCTTTCTAATAACTGATATTAGCGGAAACCACAATATAACAAAAACATGTAAAACAGGTCATCATTTGTATTTACTCTGGATATCATTTCATGGCATTTGTTTTTCCGTTCCTTTCATTACATTATCGCCTCCTCCTATTTCTGGACTGGTGGATTTTACAATAAGCTTGTTTGATTTTAAAAAGTCTTTCGAACGTTTAACTTTGCAATCATATCCTAAAAAGAATCCCCAATTTAACAGACGGGCTAGTGTCTCATGGTTTGACTATCAACCTAACTTTATATATAATTAAAACCTTGACTTCTTGCTGCTACTTCATTATAGAAAATGTAGATTTTAATACTAATAATAATATTTAAAAAACCTAACCATATTAAGATTATTTTTTCATATTTAATAAGTGACATATTTTCCATTTTAAATAGAATTAATGATGTATATACTCTTTAAACGTAATACACAAATTATCAACTTTATCATGTGCAAATAAAAAAATCATTTAATTTAATTAGTGAACTATACTACATATACAATTAAAAAAATATTTTGACGTGTTTGTTGTTTGCTTGTTCTTAGCAACTATTCCAAAACTTACTTATGGTATCAGCAGATTTTTAATATTGTCCTGTTAATTCTTAAAAATTGGCCATAATAGTATTTGCACTGTAATGAGCATGTGGCCATCCCTCTCTTAAGTTTTTAAATTTCACCAGTGTAGAAAAAAATATGTTCAAAACACATGTGATCAACATCTTTTTCTCAGGTATCAATTGTGGGAAAGCGCGAGAAAAATACACTTTGGCTACCTTGTAATAAAACTATTATATTAATGCGGAACGTTCCTCGTAGAATCGTTACCAATGTAAAAAGTACTTCGCATTGGAAAATTTACTATTTATTTAGGACTCCGGGCAGATAATATCGTTGATATCAAACCCAAAATAGAATAATGCGCAAGATAACATACGTCATTTTTTTATATGGAAGATAATCCAAATTATGTTATGATTGATAATCTAAAAATGAAATCCGTTTTACTACAAGAGAGGATCCTAGTATATTATAATGATTAATTAGAATTGGAATTAATTAATATATCGAACCACATCTTAAAATACATATAATCACAAATAAAATGAGGATTTTTGGCACCATAATCACAATACTGTACAGTACTTCCTACTTGTTCACTATTTACTTATACGTCCAACGAACCTGTTCACAAATCGGAAGTCGCGGCTGGACTGGTATGTTATTCGAATTGACGAAAATGCCTTATTATTTATTACCAGTTGACAATCGCCACGTAAACCAATCAACCGGCCATTGCCATTTCCTATTTTGTTTAGTAATTAGTAGAGTGGATATTGACTGCGGAAGAGTTCCGATATAATTTTGTCACGAACTGATTGCGAGTACAAGAATTTTAAACACACGCTACGGGATTCGTTAAACGAGAAGTCTGTGCTTCGAAATGGTTAGGTGCGTCTGAGGAAATTGAAAACAAATATAGCGCTTAAGACAAGGTTAGATATTTGCAACACACCATTCGTACAAAGTTCCTCAAATTCATGCGTGGTAAGTTACGATACGGTCGGTTTAACTTTCTGTTTTCTACCCAGACTCTTAATAGTGCAATAAAATAAAAGCTTTTTTCTACTCCCGCCTGTAAAATACCTAATTACACACCGATCTAGCGTGCGGGAAGCGTCACTTTACCACGGCAGTTTCGTTTCCCACGGATCCACTTCGGACATTTCCGAGATTTTACCGCACGGGTTTGGGCCCAATCGGATGTTTTCGAAGATTTTACCGCATGATTTCAATTTTGTTGTTCGTTTTGTTTTGCGAAAATGCACCCAAAAACTAATACACCGAAAAATGTATCAGACAATTTAAATACTAGTGGACTATTCGGTAAGTAAAGTAACATTTATAATTTTACAGTTTTTATATTAATATATTGACAAGATCAATTGTACCATTTTCAAATATCCATGTCTCATCAGGACAAACAAAACAAAATTGAAGGTTAGAACCTGCTTTTTCTTGCTTATACGAACTTAAAAATTTAATTTTCTTAAAAGCTCAATCCTTGGATGATTCTTCTTCCAATTACAGTTTTTTCTTTAAATAAACTACTTAATGATCAACTGTAATAGTTAAATAAACAGCATAACGTTTTAAAATTGTGTGTGTATTCCGTTGTTTATATGACATATCCAATAATAAATCTCTCTCTGTCTAACGTACCCAGTTAAAAAGAGACAATAGTCGAATCGGTTGAACAATACGAAATTTAGTAGTCCGATAATGTCATTATTTTTAATTTTAAATTGTGATTTTTTCATGGCGGTCGTATAAAAAGCATAGTATGCAATACGTTTGATAAACTCCTTATCTCACTCATTTATTATACACTCGCTTTGCTGCGCTCCGCTAGTATCAAATAAACTCGAGAGTCAAATGCACTTGTTGCATAATATACCATTCTGAACTTAATTTGAATAACCTGCATCCATTTCAGTCCCTTCTTTTCACTGTTTAGATAATCATTACAAACATTTGTTGACTATTGTCAACTTCATTTCATAGCTAACTTACACTCGCAAATAATTAGATTTAGATAACTTTTTGTGAATTATATTAAGCAGCTCGCACATCGCAGTAATCATTACCCAGCAATAAAAATTTAAATTGGAGTTAGTTTCAACCGAAAAATATGTTAGAGGTTAGAGGTGTTTTTTTTTTAAATCCACCATACTTCAGAGAAATTTTAAAAATCAAAGCGGTCGCTAGAAGCAGAACAAGTGAGAACACTGTGACACTCTAGTCACTTGTATTTGTTTCCTCGTCTAAGCGACAGCAATCGAGTAAGCATTTTAACAAAATATATTAAAATACCGAATTTAGTGAA